TGAGTATAGATAGTATTATGTCAAATTTTTAATAGATTTTATTGTATTCCTCATCTTGCTCAAAAATATTACGTGATAATATTTATATGATGTTAAAATTAATCACATAGTAAAATATTTTACTGATAAAAAATAATTTCTCTTTATTAGGTAATTAGATAACAAAGGACCTTGACATTTGCCACAGTGGTCACGTAGTGGATTGTAGGGTGCGGTGAGGTCTAGGTTCTAGTTTATTAAACAGTAGCGTATACTTTTTTAGAAAAAAATTGAGGCCTCGAATTTGGAGTCCGGATCGTTGGCCGTCCGTTTTGCTGCTCTCTCAAAACGATGTCATTTTAGAAAAAATTTCAATTAAAAAAAAAAAAAACTGTACAGAAGCAAACCAAAGCAAAGAAGAAGGAGCAAAAAAAAACAAAATAGAGATCAAAAACTTTGCCTGGTTTGCCTCTGTTTAGTTCTTTTTTTTTTATAATTGAAATTTTTCCCAAAATGACGTCGTTTTGGAGGAGCCGCAAGACAGCCCGCAGGAAAGGGCGATCGACAATCCGGGAACTCCTCGAATTTTAGGCCTCGAATTAGTTTTTTTTTTTTTTTTCTTTGAAATTGTGTTGGTTTGGTTGTGTTATTATTTTTTATTTATTTGTTGGGTTGTATTAGTTTGGTTGTTTTTATTTATTTGTTGGGCTGTTGTAATTTTTTTTTAAGGATAGTTATGTGTAGGGGTGGGTTTAGAGTTTAGGATTTAAGGTTTAGATTTTTATTTCTTCTGAGTCTTTCTGATTTAAAACAAAGATATAGTAAGGACTCGTGCAAAATTATATGGAATTAATAAATTTTAACCAACAGTCTAACTGATTAGTCAATTTTATCACTCAACCAATCTAACCCAACTTACTCATCTTATCAAACCACATAGGCTAAATTGTTGTTTTTTTTTTTATTTGTTGGGCTATGTTGGTTTTTTTATTGTAATTCTTCATTTGTTAAAATTTGTCAAGAGTATCATGTAGATAATATTACATGATATTCTAAAATTATTTAATAATATTTTCAAAAAAAAAAATCGTTAAAATTTAAAAATAAAAAAATCGATCACACAATCTAAAAATAATATATGCATAAATGAATACAATATTTTTATGGGATATTTTTTCATAAATTTCTTTTCATTTATTTATATCTCATTTTGTTCATATTATTTTCTTATGTTTCAATAAGTCCTATGATGACATAGTCATCAAAATATCTTTAATAATAATATTTATATTGACAGTGTGAATGTTTCGTAATGTGAATGTCCATATTGTCAATGTGAATATTCACACTATCAATGTGAATGTTAACCCGTCATCGTGGATATTCACATTATCAATATAAATGTTTATATCACCATATTGTTAACCGTTCAAAAAAATTTATAAAGGTAGAATTATCCATAATATACTTTAAATATGATAGTTGAGATTTGATGAATCAAATATCTAAATAATATAACTTATTAAAATACAAAAATATCTTATAAATAAAATAAAATATAATCACTTAATTTTTTTTTTCTAATAAATCTATTTTTTTTAATACTTCTGCTAACAAATTTTAGGGTAAATTATAAATTCACCTCTTGAGATTTGCTTAAAATACAAATTGCCCCTGTGATTTTGAAAATCACAAATACCACTTTGTTAGAATTTTTTATTTAGCGGAATTAACCAAAAAAATAAAATTCATAATTGCTCTTCTATACAATAATAAAATTACTTAAATTATTAATTGAAACATATTTCTAACATCATTAAAAACTGTTAATTAACTTTATGATTTATCAATAAAATGAGTGATTTGTTATGAAATTAAAAATCTCAAGAGGTGAGATGTAATTTTTAAAATCACAAAAAAATTATTATGTTTTAGGAAAATGTCTCGTAACTCAAATTTTGTGGCTCAAAAGTGGCTCAAATGGTCAAAACGACGTCGTTTTGGTCATTTTTATGTTGTTTTGTACTCAAAACGACGTCGTTTTGACCATTTGAGCCACTTTTGAATCACAAAATTTAAATTACGTAGCATTATCATATATTTTAATCAAAACTCAAAAATGTGCTTATAATTCACCCAAAATTTATTAATCCCTCGTCATTTTTCACTCCGTAAAAATTGGAAAAGGACACGCGCACAATATATACACACACAAAACAAAACAATTTATATATGAGGGTAACATGAGGACACTATTTCAGTAGCACTATAAATAGGAACTTGCCCATCCAAGGCTTAATGCAAAGATCTGTAAGTTCGTTCACGAGAGATACACATACTTGCTATATTTAGCTCTCAAAATCAAACTCTCAGGTAATTGAATTTCCAAGCTTTCTCTGAATTTTTGGCTTTGATTTTTGTTCTGTCTCTGCTCCATTCGTAAATCAAATCGATGGGTATGTTAATTTCGTTCATGGGTTTTGTAGATGTTTCGATTTGGGTTATAATTTCTTCTGGGTTTTGTTTGTTTTGATGTTTTTGTGAAGTTTAAGGTGCCATCCATGGGTACTCTGTTTCATGAAATTAACTGTTCTGTTTTCATATCCCTATTATATATATACATATAATCTGTGTGTGTATTTATATATATATACGTTAATCTACATTGTATGCTGACTCATTTTCTATGTGACTTTCCTGTAATTAATTTGAGTTGTCAGAGGTAATTGTTCTGTACTTTCAATTTCTTTTCCCCTGTTCTTTCCTATCTCCTTTGATATTTTAACATGAACAGTTTTGTTTTTGAAATTTTGATTTATAATCTTGCTCAACATGGTTTTGGAAACTTAAATTAAGTCATACTGTTGAACCTTTATAATGTGGATTTCTGACTTTGTGTTATGGATCTCTAATTTTACCACCCACTAATTTGAATTCATTGGAACTGCTTATACAATTATATTTAACAATTATGTAAAAATTTTCCTTGATTTACTAGCTTTGAGGATGTGCAAGTATTGATTCTTTGCTTCTATTCCATTCCTTTGCTTTCATGGACTCTAGAAAGAGTATATTCTTGAAATCTTGAGTATTGAGTTAGGGATTCTCTTGTTCATCTTCCATGGTGTTTAGATTTTATAGTTTTATTCATATTAATTGTGCATGATGGTTTCCTCTTATCCATCAAACATTTTTTATAATTCTTGTTTGAAATTGTGTTGGTTTGGTTGTGTTATTATTTTTTATTTATTTGTTGGGTTGTGTTAGTTTGGTTGTTTTTATTTATTTATTTATTTGTTGGGCTGTTGTAATTTTTTTTTAAGGGTAGTTATGTGTAGGGTTGTGTTTAGAGTTTAGGATTTAAGATTTAGATTTTTATTTCTTCTGAGTCTTTCTGATTTAAAACAAAGATATAGTAAGGACTCGTGCAAAATTATATGGAATTAACAAATTTTAACCAACAGTCTAACTGATTAGTCAATTTAATCACCCAACCAATCTAACCCAACTTACTCATCTTATCAAACCACATAGGCTAAATTGTTGTTGTTGTTTTTTTTTATTTGTTGGGCTATGTTGTTTTTTTTTTAATTTGATTTTATTTGATTTTATTTGTTGGGTTGTGTTGGTTTGATTTTTTTTTTATAAGGATTTAGGCTACGAAAAAATGACCTCGTCGCCAAAAGTGGTCTCCAAATTGCAATTTCTTGTAGTGATGCGAAGGTATCATCATGTACCCAAAATGATTGCATCTGTAAAAAAAAACCAAAAAAAAAAAAAAAAAACCCCAAAACCAAACCAACATAGCAAAAAAAAAACTAAATTCGCCCCCCTTTTTGAGGCCTTTAGCATGGCTCTACTTTTTTTTTTCATAATTTAAATTCATCACTAACATCTAACATTTTATCCTATAACAAATAAATAAATAAATAATTGATAAAAAAATAACATAATTAATATATATTGTAATTTTTCATTTGTTAAAATTTGTCAAGGAGTATTACATGATATTCTAAAATTATTTAATAATATTTTCAAAAAAACATTCATTAAAATTTAAAAATACAAAATCGATCACACAATCTAAAAATAATATATGCATAAATGGATACAATATTTTTATGGGATATTTTTTTATAAATTTCTTTTCATTTATTTATATCTCATTTAATTCATATTATTTTTTTATGTTTCAATAAGTCCTATAATGACATAGTCATCAAAATATCCTTAATAATAATATTTATATTGACAGTGTAAATGTTTCGTAATATAAATGTCCATATTGTCAATGTGAATATTCACACCATCAATGTGAATGTTAACCCGTCATCGTGAATATTCACATTATCAATATAAATGTTTACATCACCAGATTGTTAACTATTCAAAAAAATTTATAAAGGTAGAATTATCCATAATATACTTTAAATATGAGAATTAAGATTTTATGAATCAAATATCCAAATAATATAACTTATTAAAATACAAAAATATCTTATAAATTAAATAAAATATAAACACTTAAAAATTTTTTTCTAATAAATCTATTTTTTTTTAATACTTCTGCTAACAAATTTTAGGGTAAATTATAAATTCACCTCTTGAGATTTGTTTAAAGTACAAATTGCCCATGTGATTTTGAAAATCACAAATACCACTTTGTTAGAATTTTTTATTTAGCAGAATTAATCAAAAAAAAATAAAATTCATAATTGCTCTTCTATACAATAATAAAATTACTTAAATTATTAATTGAAACATATTTCTAACATCATTAAAAACTGTTAATTAATTTTATGATTTATCAATAAAAAGAATGATTTGTTATGAAATTAGAAATCTCAAAAGGTGAGATGTAATTTTTAAAATTACAAAAAACTATAATTTAATCAAAACTCAAAGATGTGTTTGTAACTCACCCAAAATTTATTAATCCCTCGTCATTTTTCACTCCGTAAAAATTGGAAAAGGACACACGCATAATATATATATATACACACACACACAAAACAAAACAATTTATATATGAGGGTAACATGAGGACACTATTTCAGTAGCACTATATATAGGAACTTGCCCATCCAAGGCTTAATGCAAAGATCTGTAAGTTCGTTCACGAGAGATACACATACTTGCTATATTTAGCTCTCAAAATCGAACTCTCAGGTAATTGAATTTCCAAGCTTTCTCTGAATTTTTGGCTTTGATTTTTGTTCTGTCTCTGCTCCATTCGTTAATCAAATCGATGGGTATGTTAATTTCGTTCATGGGTTTTGTAGATGTTTCGATTTGGGTTATAATTTCTTCTGGGTTTTGTTTGTTTTGATGTTTTTGTGAAGTTTAAGGTGCCATCCATGGGTACTCTGTTTCATGAAATTAACTGTTCTGTTTTCATATCCCTCTTATATATATACATATAATCTGTGTGTGTATTTATATATATATACGTTAATCTACATTGTATGCTGACTCATTTTCTATGTGACTTTCCTGTAATTAATTTGAGTTGTCAGAGGTAATTGTTCTGTACTTTCAATTTCTTTTCCCCTGTTCTTTCCTATCTCCTTTGATATTTTAACATGAACAGTTTTGTTTTTGAAATTTTGATTTATAATCTTGCTCAACATGGTTTTGGAAACTTAAATTAAGTCATACTGTTGAACCTTTATAATGTGGATTTCTGACTTTGTGTTATGGATCTCTAATTTTACCACCCACTAATTTGAATTCATTGGAACTGCTTATACAATTATATTTAACAATTATGTAAAAATTTTCCTTGATTTACTAGCTTTGAGGATGTGCAAGTATTGATTCTTTGCTTCTATACCATTCCTTTGCTTTCATGGACTCTAGAAAGAGTATATTCTTGAAATCTTGAGTATTGAGTTAGGGTTTCTCTTGTTCATCTTCCATGGTGTTTAGATTTTATAGTTTTATTCATATTAATTGTGCATGATGGTTTCCTCTTATCCATCAAACATTTTTTATATCCATCAACAGACAGTGATTTTTATATGGGTTCGACTAACAACTGCCCACTACGTGTTTGTTAAAAATCAATTAATACCAAAAAAGTTAGAATTCGAATACACTTTTAACATATTTCAATACTCTCTTTTACATATACACCAACATTAGGTTAGCATTTCCCTTTATGTATTATTATTGTAGAACCCTCACATTATTCATCATAATGAGGTCTGCAGAATGGGAAGCACTGGAGAAAGTAACTATGGGGCATACACCTATGAGAACCTTGAGAGGGAACCCTACTGGCCTTCGGAGAAGCTCCGCGTTTCCATAACCGGAGCAGGTGGATTCATTGCCTCGCACATTGCTAGGCGATTGAAGAGCGAGGGGCATTATATCATCGCTTCCGACTGGAAGAAAAATGAGCACATGACCGAGGACATGTTTTGTCATGAGTTTCATCTTGTTGATCTGAGGGTGATGGATAACTGTTTGAAAGTCACAACCGGGGTTGATCATGTGTTCAACCTTGCTGCTGATATGGGAGGTATGGGATTCATTCAGTCCAACCACTCAGTCATTATGTATAACAACACAATGATCAGTTTTAACATGCTTGAAGCGGCAAGGGTCAACGGAGTTAAAAGGTTTGTCTTCTTCAACTTTGTGAATACTTATCAATTTAAATTCTTTTCACTTTGTTGGGCCATATTTGAGTTAGAGGTTGTTGTTTCTTGTGCCATCTGGTTTGAACACTTTTCACTTGCTACTAGACAGGAGGAATATAAACATCCAAGCTTGTCATTCAACTTGCTTCTTATGAGCTTGGTCCCTTCCCTTTCACCATGTTTGATACAAGAACTTTGTCTGTTTCAGAATTATTATTATTTTTTTAAAGGGTTATTTTCATTTTGGTGTTGGATTCATTCTAAAGAATGGGATAGTCTATTGTTTTTTCTTATCTATGGAAGGGCTTAATGGGCTGTTTAGAGAAGAGATAGAAAAGGGCAACTTTTAGTTCCTTGATAAATGCTCAGAAATTGGGATAGTCTCTTAGATCGAAGTGGGAATCCAAATGCAATAATATGTTAACGTTCCTCGACTTCAAACACCCTAGTTCTGATTCTGTCATCTTGCAAAAATTGGTCACTGTTTTTTTCTGAGTGTAAAGTGAGAAACCTTCATTGGTTGCCAAAATACTACTGAAAAAACAACTACTCAAAAATTAAATGTGGCATTGTAGTTTTTACATTTCCTTTGTTAACACCTTTTCAATTCCTTTTGTCAAATTAGTGTTGTTGAAAAGCAGAATACAGCTCTAGTTGTTTTGATTGTTCCAAGCCATTTAAGGGGGGCTCATTGGAAATTCTGACTTCAAATATGTGGGAAGCCAATAATTGCTCTAACAATGGCACTTCCATGGAAAACCTCTAGCATCTACTTTTGCTTTTAATATCTTCTTGGTATCAATGTGGGATTTATCTATATACGGATGTACATATCTGAATATTGATCTTTTCGTTGTTGTATGCAGGCTCTTTTATGCTTCTAGCGCTTGCATTTACCCTGAATTTAAGCAGTTGGAGACCAACGTGAGCTTGAAAGAGTCCGATGCTTGGCCTGCTGAGGTTTTTCCTCACAACTCATGAACCATGACTGTATTACATATATATCAAGTTGGTTTTTTTTTATATTTATTTTTTAACACAATTGATGAGATTTCCCTTTCATGTATTTTAGCCTCAAGATGCCTATGGCTTAGAGAAGCTAGCAACAGAGGAATTGTGCAAGCACTACACCAAGGACTTTGGCATTGAGTGTAGGGTTGGACGGTTTCATAACATCTACGGACCTTTTGGAACGTGGAAAGGTAAGCTCAGATTGTAACTTCTTCATATTATTTTTTCTCCGTGGGGGGTTTTATTAATTTATTTTTCTTTTCATTTGACATCTACAGGTGGGAGGGAGAAAGCCCCTGCTGCATTTTGCAGAAAGGCCCTTACCTCTATCGATAGGTTTGAGATGTGGGGAGATGGGCTACAAACCCGATCTTTCACCTTCATTGATGAGTGCGTTGAAGGTGTCCTGAGGTAAAACTAATCTCTTCAATAAAACATATTCCTTGTTCAAGTTTAATTAAGAAGTGCTTTTTGTTGGATATGAAATTTTACAGAGATTAAGTGCTGGCTGATATTGTAATGTCTTGTTAATTGTTGGCAACTCTTATTTGCTTTTGAACAGAAAACATTCCGTATTTACATTGGAATAGTAGAATTTAAATTACATCATTGCCATTGGATGATGCATGTATATTTTGATGTGCTTTTATCACAAGTGATGCATGATATAGGTAGCCTGTATTTTCAATAAAAAAATCTCCCCACAAGTGAAGAAGTTAATTTAATTAACCTCGAAGGCTGAGAAATGTATTTTCGTCGATTATATATACTATATATCTTTTCTCTATTATTCAAGCCTATAATTCAGTGAAGCTTTGTCACAGCTTTTCATTCCAAAATTGCCCTGCCACTGCCTCACCTTTTTTTTAATTTTTATTTTTTTCTCCTTCATCAACATTTTTCTTTTTGTCAATACGTAAAATATCAACCAATTGATTTTCATATCACATCCATCGGGTGTGCACACCTTCTAGTATATATATATGGTAGTATAAGAACTTCACCACACATTTCTTTAGGAGGCCAGAACATATGGTAGTGGTCCATTTTTTAGATGAGTACAAATCCTTTGTATTTTATGTTTCGAAAGGACTTGATTTCAATCTAAAAATGGCTATAGGCTAACTTCATTCCTTTTACATTTGGTCATGCATCCTTCTTGATTCCATGTCTTGAATTGAGCACTTTGCGTTCAGATTGACAAAGTCGGACTTCAGAGAGCCAGTGAATATTGGAAGTGATGAAATGGTTAGCATGAATGAAATGGCTGAGATTGTTCTAAGCTTCGAGAACAGGAAGTTGCCCATCCATCACATTCCTGGGCCAGAGGGTGTACGTGGTCGAAACTCAGACAACACTCTGATAAAAGAGAAGCTTGGTTGGGCCCCTACTATGAAGTTGAAGGTATCTGATAGGGACTAAATGGGAATTTCCATAGTGTCAATTCACTTTATATTAGCAAATAGCTGACTCACCAATCATATCCATACACATCTTCTGTTTACAGGATGGGCTAAGAATCACATACTTTTGGATCAAGGAACAAATTGAGAAAGAGAAAGCTAAGGGTATCGACTTGTCGATTTATGGGTCATCGAAAGTTGTTGGAACACAAGCTCCAGTTCAATTGGGCTCTCTTCGCGCTGCTGATGGCAAAGAATGAAGCGGACAAGTTGTTCTTGGATTGTTGTTTAGATTGAAATATGCTATTGTTTTTTTCATTCTGCAAACTATTGGTATATGTAGTGATATATGCCTCTGTTCTGTGTATTTTCCAGTTTCTTAGAGAATGGTCCTATGTTGTTTGATGATTTATTATTTTGAGGAATATATCTCGCTGCCTTTATTTGTTGTCGATGAATCATTCGCTTTCCATTTTCTGCTCTTGCTTGCTTTCTCCCTTTTCTTGCACTCGGATGAAACTTTCCCGCGAGTCATTTTCTAAGAAAGCAGTTGGAATTGTTCAAATTTCAAACTCTAATAAATAAGATTTTGATAGCTTCCTCAAGAGAAGATGTGGATGGTGTGGGGAAGGAGGGAAGATTGCAGTGTGTGGTGCAAAGAATGTGATGTGTGCTTTATTTGTGGTCCAAAGATTTAAACTTTAATTTGCCTACTTGGGAGTCAGATAAAACTTGTATGAAGAACTATGAGAGCTTGTAACGGAATGCAGAACCAATTGAAGGACAAAGGTACAAGTAACTAGGAAACATTGTCCTATGAAAAATATGCTATTCCTCCATAATTTTTTTTTAATTTTTTTTTTTTTACAGAATCATATGACAACGGCCTTTTTTTGTAAATAAAAAACATTTTGATGAAATTTGCTTCCCTCCATTCCATTATCTGGATAGTTTAGATCATTATCGGTCCACCTCGGGTCTCCTTTGAACCAAATATGTGGCTATCAATATTTGATTAATTTAATTTTTTGTATGAATGATTAACTTGAGACACTAAAATTTAGACAATTTAAATCAACAAAATGGACCAACGTGACTACAATTCAAATAATGAACTAGAAAGAAGCTTCATCTTCTTTTTCTTTTCTTTTTTTCTTTTTTTGTTAATTTTTTTTAATGTTTGATCCAAAACACCAATTATTAGATCGGTTCAATCAATAATATTTTAAATCTACTCATCATTATTCATATTTTTCAAACTATCTAAAGTACGTAGTCTCATATTATTGAAAGTACACGTGGTTAAAATGATATTTCGAGAATTGGAAAATCTTAAAAAAAAAAAAAAAAAGCAGCATGGACTGTTGGGCCACAAATGGCAGCATGACTGTAACAGATCACGGGCCTGGATTAAATATTGGACTGACAGCAGGGGCGGAGCCACCTAAGACCTAGGTCACGTGTCTCTCCTAAATTTTCAATATTTATACTGTTATTCATATAAACAAAGATTATGTATTATGTATCTTTTATAAAATTATAATAGTGACTTTCCTTAAATTATGTAAAACTTTTTGCATTTTTAAAATTTTAAGCAGGGCGGAGCCACCTAAGGCCTGAGGGTCACGTGTTTCCCCTAAATTTTTAATATTTATACTGTTATCCATATAAACAAAGATTATGTATTATGTATCTTTTATAAAATTATAATAGTGACATTCCTTAAATTATGTAAAACTTTTTGCTTTTTTAAAATTTTAAAAATTCTCTATTTTATTATTTTGATTATTCTTGGACACATTTTATTAATAAGTCAAGGTAAAAATTGAATCAATTGATAATTCATTTCTTATTATGGGATTTGTTTAGTTGCTTATTTCTCCTCATTGTGGAGCACTTTTATTTGAGCTGATAGGATTGAACTTATTGATTATTTGATTAATGAAATTTAGTTATTGATTGTGGATTTATAAGTCACCTTAATGAAAATATAAGGATAATTATAATAAAAATAAAAATGTATAAGTTTAATAATATGTCATTGTTACTTGTTATGGGAGGAAAAAAAAAATTAATGTTGTGATTAATGTGTGCCCCCTCTATATTGAATTTCTGATTCCGCCACTGACTAACAGCCCACATGGTGGTGGACACTTTGTGTAACCAATTTTTCTTAAGCCTGTTTGTCTCTTGCTACATTGTAAAATCAATTTTGTTTTTTTCATAGTTAGGTTTTAGCAACTGTATTTTAAGCAGTTTTTATTTTGTATTTATTTATTTTTAGAATCCAAAAGAATGATACGTTTGGTCATTGTTTAAAAATTATTTTTTTATCATCTTTTCAAAATTTCTTTTTAATGAGAAATTATTAATTTTCTAAAAATTAATTATGTACGGGGTGAAATATTCTCAGTAGTCCGTATTCCTTGAACCCAAGCTCCACGTGACGCCACTTAACCTGAACACCAAAAGAAAGTGAGCTGCTTAGCGGTGTGCTACCGGATAAACCCTCCGACAATCAAGTTAGCACACTAGGAGGAGGAGAAGAAGAATAGAGAGCGCTCGAGAGAGAGAATTGGGAATTCCATCAGATTGCTTACCTCTAACGTCTCCACCTTTCTCATTTTCTAGGCTGGCCATGCAGCCTCAAAGATTGTGGGCGCACTACCTCTGCTGTCCTTCTCTGGGCAGGGGACTGTGCTCCCCTCTACTTTCCTTACATGTATAGAGACCAAAACCTCCAAACAGTATTTGTCGAACCACCAAACGGTATTGACGTATACTAGGAGCGGATTTCCCCTTCTTCATCATTGGTCCAGATGGCTTACACAATCGGGCTATCACTTGGAAAAAGTAGACATCACAACAGACTTGGATGGTCGAGCTATAATATACCGGTCCATCTAAATTGACAGGTCGTAGGGTGCGTGGTTCGGCATCTCGGCCTCAACCTGCTATCTCGTAGGACGTATCGGCCTTACGTCAGTCTGGACTGTCCATAACTCAACCCAACGCATCAATGTGAATCTAACCGAATATCGAATTTTGCTGAATAACAGCTTAGTTGAGCACCTCACGTTTTACACTCTGGTCAGTTTGCTCGGCCCAACGTAATGGGCCGAGGAACCGCGTTGGTTTAATTCGGTTAGGCACATGATCTCCTCGCAAGGCCCAACATCATATCCCGTGTTGCCGTAGCTCGACCCATTTGTTCGGCACAAGTCTTCCTCTCAGGTCATCCATGCTAAAATTGAAAAAGAGCATGGACTGTTGGGCCACAAAAGGAAGCATCACTGTAACAGATCACGGGCCTGGATTAATTGTTGGACTGTGTATGAGAGGGTTCAAGAAAGTCGTCAGAAAATTCAAAGAACTTCGAAGATCCTTGAAGAACAACTTCGAATTCTCTAGAAGATGATGAGAGACTTAGATTCTTTAATAGTCTCAACTTAAAAACACAAAAGTAAAGGAGATGATGGAGATAAGAGATTGGGTGAAGAAAAAAGAAAAGTGGCTAGAGAGAGAATAATGGCAAGGCTCTCCCATGGATCTCCCACTTTCACTCTCCAGGTTGATAATGGAGAAAGGAAATTAGTTCTTTCCCAAGAGTTAAAAATCTCTAAACTCCATCCCTTGTGAAGCTATGGATGGGTGCTATTTATAGGCACCTCATGATATAGGATGGAACCCATGTGTAAGGCACACGGGGAATACACTCTCTAACCACCTTGTCCGAGGAGGTGACCTCTCCGAGAATGAGAAAAATCCCGAAGAGGAGATCAACCCCTCGGCGAACCCTTCTTCTTAGCCACACCTAACCAATGATCCCAAATCATCCCAAAGGGTCAGGAGTAGTCTCAGAGGACGTCCTGCCGCAAAATATTGCCGAGTCTCATGGACCCCCCCGGAGTCGTGCCACCTCGACCCGGGTATAGGCTAGTTTAACCAAAAAGTGAATTTATCTCCACTCATCGTCCTCGGGATCGGGTCCTTTGTTCGGACTCCATTACGTCCATGGTTTTGGTAAGCAGATCCCGGAAAGCTCCGAGTCCGCAAGTGTTCTGGGACTCATTAACAGAGCGGCTTCTAGATTGCATCTGAATTCGTTCGAAGCCGAGTGCTTCGAGTCTCTAGGTTCGTGGATCAGAACCCTTTCGAGTCCGAGCCAGAGTAAGTTTCTAAGTTCGTGGATCCGAACCCTTTCGAGGCTTAGGGCGATTCAGCCTGTTCGATGGCGATAAACCCGGGCCCACCAATCTTGGACTTGCGATAAATTCAGGCCCATCAACCCTGGACTATTGGGCCTAATTAATTTAGTGGGCCCAAATTAGCTTCTCTTACATTTGCCCCTTGCGTGTATGAGAAATTTTAAATTTCTCGGACATGCATACTGTCATTTCTTCGGCCCTGCTTCACATCACGTCCCAAAAAAAAATATATGTTGCCTCGACAGAGCCTATGGATAAAGTTGATGACGCACTGTAATTTACGAATAAAACTGACAAGCATAATTTTTTTTTTTTTTTTTTTTCATGCCACTGATATTTAAAAAAAAATGAAAAAATATACATGTATATTTTTACTCCAAGAAAAATAAAAAGAAATAAGGCACTCATTTTTTTATTCCTAAACAAAAAGAAAAAGAAAAAAGAAAAGGATAATACTCACACACATTTTTCTTGTTTGGCAAATCAGCCAATCCACTACATACATATACATGCATACGTTTATACAGAATATTGAGGGAATATTCAAAGAATAGTACCCCATTTTTTTTTTATTTAAGGAAAGGCTCAAAACCCTAAACCTCACCAACTATTTGCACAGCCGCCATACCCATTTCAGCCTACTCTCTCTCTCTCTCTCTATATCGAGAGACCCAGTTTCTTCCTCTCCAAGAAGGCTTCGTTTCTGCACTGCCAGAGGCCACCGTCATGCTCTTCTTCTTCGACAAACCACATAGCTCCGCTTGAGCACTGACCTTCATCATGACTCCAGGCCCCGTTGGCGCCGCCGTCGTCACTGAAAACCCAGCTCCGACTGCCACAGACGCCATGACCAAGTTGCTGACTTGCTTCAGTTCTGACTACTGCGGACGTCGCAACCCCGGATGCTGCTATTCTATGCCTTCGCCAACTCTGTCTCACCGTAGGTGCTTCATTTCGACCTAGAGATCCAGACACTCCGAAGCTCGGTTATGCCGACCAACACGACACCGACCTCTCTGCAACGTCACTGCTCCTCTACGTAGTTACATCCAACGCCGACCTTGACTGCCCAGCTACTCTGGAGCTCGGCGTTGGCTTCACTCTGCTGCCACTTCACCGCCGGCCTCGGCTGTCCAGCGTTCTTCCTCATCTTTGCTTTTGGTAGGCATTTCGAATATATATATATATATATATATTATTTTTGTTTTAGAGCTCGACTTACCCAGATCTTAGTTCTG